GACTCATAGCTGATCCTCCCACGGGTTTTCAGAGCAGTAATTGCATAGGAGATTGCCCTTTGTCCTGGAGAGCAGCTGGTAGATTCAGAACTGACCAGTCGGCGTGGCAGCACTGCTTCTTACCAGTAAGCCACCAGAGCTCGCTATGTAATGCTGTTGTCACTGTGTATCATCGAGTTGGAACTGACCCGTAGGTGACCCTCCAGCAAATTTCCTGAGGCAGTAAATCCCGCGGGAGGAGCAGCTGGTGGATTTGAACTGTGTGCCTTTGCATTGGCAGTGAAATGCCTTACCAGTAAGCCACAGGAGCCCCCCGTGTTGTTGTAGTGTGCCATTGAGTCAGAACGAACGACGCGTGGTTGACCCTCCAGCAGGTTCTCAGAAGCAGTGGTTGACCCTCCAGCAGGTTCTCAGAAGCAGTGAATCACACGGGAGGAGATTGCCAACCTTTTCCCATGGAGCAGCTGGTGGACTTGAACTATATGCCTTCGGGATTGCAGCACAGCTTCTTACCACTAGGCCACCAGCGCTCCCTATTGTGTACTGTAAATTTTTGTTGTTGCAGACTTTATGACTGAAAAAGTGGACTTATTTACTATTACTATGTTTTTTCATGACTATTAATGCCATAGTAGCACATTTTTGTTACATATTTACATTTCATCTCTTACTTTCATGTAGATCCTTACCTGCTTTTCTGTTGCATGTATGTTTCTTACTCATTTGTTTATCCTCCTGCATGAATGATAGTAATCCCGTCTTGATTGTTGCAAATACTTAACATCCATCCCAGCTGGTTTTTTCCTTTGAAATACATTTCCTCCTGTCTTCCCCCTGGATCTACTCCTCTCAATCCTTCCTTTCTTTCCTCTTAGTGTAACCAAATCTGTTTCCTTTTTTTGTTTCGTTTTAGTTCTCATATTTATTTTGTACTTAAGAATCTGACACCATTGATTACACTTCCAAGTTGTCATCATTTTAGTGTCCAAATTAGAGTATATTTTTTCTTTCTGGGATTTTTCTTTGATAGGAAGTATTAGGTAAGGGGCTAATTTTCTTTTCTTTCTAAAGGTGACCAACGACTATAAACAGTTCTTTGTGTCACTGACTTGAAACATTGCCTTTCTCTTCTGTTTCTAGCTGAGTCTCTTAGGATTGTCATTGTTCCACTGATCACTGTTTATATCCCTGCTATTTAATTACAGTAGATATACAGAGGTTTCATATATGATAGAGCATACCCTTTTTTATAGATTTTTCCTTTTTCAAGCTTTTCTGTGGTTTTCAAACAGGAGTTTTAAATTTCATCTTATTTCCTCCCTTGGGTGCCATTGATTGCAGATGAGAAATGACATTTAAGCACATGCTATTTGGAAAGGATGAACTTTTACATAGAAAATATCCTTCTAGAAAAAAATATGCATACATTTGTAATTATTCAGGGTTTTGCATGCTATATATTGTACTTTTTAATGTGTTACTGTTTTGAGTAACTAATTGTTAAATAATTATATATCTCACACATTTTTATTGTTAGATTTGCTAGTTTGTCATTCTTGTGACTTCTAAGTATATAATATTTGTGGAAATAATTGGTTTCTTTTTGTGATTTATCTTCATTGTATGCAGAATGAATAATAGTCATGAGTCCAATTTTATTTTTAATAACAGTGACATTTATTTTATTGTTTTTATAATGATTGCTGATGGTTTTATTGCCTTATTTTTCCCCCCCCTTTGGTATAATTGACATACCAGGTGTCAAGGTTAACAGATTTTAGCAACTTGATAAACCTGTTTTCAGTCCCATAACTTAAAGACATCAGTTTTTCTCTGGTTTTTCTTACTCAGTGTTCTGCTTTCACATGCACACCATGGACTGAGTCAGGTGCACCCCAGTCCTCAAATTTATTTTAATGTCCCTAATGACTAACATTATTGAGCCACCTTTTTATGTGTTTTCTCTTTACTTCTTTATCTTTTTGTGGAAAGTATCTATTGAAGCCTTTAACCAATTTTTTTTTAATTGCCTTGTTTTTTTTATTATGCCTTGTGATAGTTCTGTATAAATAGTCATAGAATCTGTATACAGATAATTTGTCAAATATATGTATTATGAATATTATCTCCCCGTTTCTGTCTTGGCTTTTTTATTACCTTAATAAAATCTGTCAGGAAGCAGAAGTTTTACATTTTGACCAGTCTGGTGATAAAGGGTAAAATGTTTGAACAGCTTTTAAAGAAAATGAGATCATTTCAGTGTTGTAGAGACAAACTAAGGTAAATAGACTGTAGTAATTTATTTTAGAAAATGTGCCTGGGCATAAAGTGAGCAGTACATTTAAGGTAAAATCAGATTTTGTGTTGGTAACAGTCTTTGTTCCAAAGGGCATGAGTTTTAATGTGGTATCCTAAAACCCTCTTTTTTTTTCTTTTTTCATTACAAGGAAGTGAGGGGATAGCTTGTTTTCTAATGTTTTTAAACCCAAACAGTCCACATCACCAGGTGCACCCCAGGAGATAGAGGTGGCCATATGCGTCTGTGAAGATTGCAGAGTTGGAAATTGTAAGGGACACTTCTTCTCAGTCCTGTTGAGTCTCTGCTTAGGAATCATCTCCATAGCATGGAATTTTTAGTGGAAAGAAATTAGTACTTATCACTGGGCAGAAATAAAGCGATACAAACCCAGATTTTCACTATTTGGTCTATAAAACTTTGATGACTAAGCCATAGGAGTGAGGAGTTTATAGAAATATTTGTATTTGAATCCTTTAGCCATCCCTGCCACTTCCTTCCAGGATGGTGTCTCAGTGGTTACCAGCTTGAGTCTACAGTGAAATACTGGCTTTGCTTTTAATGGAAGAAATGGCTAGTGAGGAGATTGTTCCTCAAGAAGGGAAGATGAGCAGAAATTCAACTAGTTTCTCAGAAGAAAAAAGAAGGGAAGATGAAGGTTTTAAAATAATTATTACTCCTAATTTCAATCCTTTATATTGGGGAGCTCTGGTGGCCTGACGCGTAGGAGACTGCACTACTAGCCCAAAGGTGGTGCTTCTCTAGTGGTTCGAATCCACAGCAGTTTCACAGGGAAAAGATGGACCATTTCCTTCCACACAGTGTACGGTCCCTTAAAACCCGTTGGTAGTTCAGCTTTCCAACTAGATAGCAATGAGAGAGGTCGATCAGACCTTGGAACTAAAAGTGCGCAAACACCTGTAAAGCCAAAATGTTACTGTGTGCTGACAAGTTGGAACCAACTCACAGCTGATCCTCCCACAGGTTTTCAGAGGCTGTAAATCGCAGGGGAGGAGGTGGTTGTTCTCCCAGAGAGTGACTGACTTGTCTTTGGATAGATAGCACCAAGCCATAGAACCAAAATAGCCTCTAATAATTGTCTGTTGTTGTTACGTGCCTTCAAGCTGCATATGACTCAGTGACCCTGCGAACTGCTGATCTAAACCCTATTCTCTCCTGCATCATCCTTATCATCTCCGCAACACACTTGAGCCAGCTGCCTGAGTCCCTGTAGTAGGGTCTTCCTCTCCTTGGCTGACTGTCCACCTTTTCAGCAGTTGTCTGTGGTGAATGTATAGTCCCTATTGAAACTTCACTAATCTCACTGGATTCCAGATAAGCATCTAAGAGTGATGTCAGGTTTGGGAATTGGAGTCTTGCTGTATTAGTATATAATATGACAACAATTCTTTTTAAAAAAAGCACAATTTCTGGTATTTTTTTTTTTTCCCCTTGGATAATTTCTTCTCTGTTTCTGTATTACCAGTTAAAAAATAATTTTTTGTGTGTGTGGTTTATTTTGTTGACCTAGTGGCCAAGTGTCAGATAAATATCTATCTTGGGATGAATTTACTGATTTATTTGTAATAGGTGTCTCCTGAACTCTATGCCTTAACACCTTGGGGTCTGTGTTGTCTGATTTTAACATTATGATGTTATCCTACTTATTGCTGCAGATCGTACTTTCAGAGTTAGTTGATTTGTTTACCTTTGGCTTCCTTTTGTGAATCACCAAACATTAGAGGCAAAAGAAAATACTCACTGCTGCTGTTGTTAGGGCCTTTCAGTCACCTGTGAGCAATTCTGTGACCAACAGGCCTGAAATTGGCCCTTTATTAAGCCCCTTTTTGCTGTAACTGTCAGTCTATCTTGTTGAAGGTCTTCCTCTCTTTTTCTGACCTTTGCAGCATACTGTCTTTTTTCCAAGGACTAGCCCGCCTGACAATATGTCCAAAGTATGTAAGATGAAATGTCATCGTGCTTCCCTCTAAGGGGAACACTGGTTGCACTCTCTCCACAAAGATAAGTTTATCTTTTGGCAGTCCACAGGATAGTCCATACTCTTCACCAACATCACAATTGAAAGGCATTGATTCTTTTCCCTTTTTTTCTTATTCATTGTCCAATTTTCTGATACGTTGTAAGCAGTTGAAAAATTCATAGTTTGGACCAGGCACACCTTAGTCTTTAAACTGGCATCGTTGCTCTTTAGCACTATGGAGGGGTCCTTTGCAGCAGATTTCCCCAGTGTAATACGTCTTTTGATCTCTTAACTGCTGTCCCTGTGAGTATTGATTGTAGATCCTAGTAAAAGACAAATATCCAGAGCCCAAACTAATTTGAACTCTAAAGTGATTTTGATGATGTACCTTATTAGAGAAATTTCTTGGCTATTTTTTTAAACTTGGTTTAAAGGGTAAGTTTTTACTTTAACATCTGGTCAACTTTAATATGATTGTGGACCTATCTAGTAACCATAAGTGAGAGTGAGAGAGAGGTGTGTGTGTGTGTGGCTGGCTAAATCTCTGTGTACGTTTATATAAATATATGTGTAACAGTATTTTCCTCAGTCTTGGAATCAGCAGGAATTGTCTATTTTACCTCAGCAGTTACAGTATATTCAGATAATGCTGCATATTCATCTTAAGCACAGTTATGGCGGAATCTAAAAACCCTTTTCTCTCTTTCTCATTATTTCTTTTAGGGTAACCAGGAGCCAACAACAACTCCTGATGCAATGGTTCAGCCTTTTACTACCATCCCATTTCCACCACCTCCACAGAATGGAATTCCCACAGAATACGGAGTGCCACACACTCAGGACTATGCCGGCCAGACCAGTGAGCATAACCTGACGCTCTACGGAAGTACGCAAGCCCACGGCGAGCAGAGTAGCAACTCGCCCAGCACACAGAACGGGTCTCTGACGGTATGTGAGTTAGGAGGGGGGAAATGGAAGGCTGCATTGCATCAGCTGGCGGTTTTTGCCTTAGTCATCAGACTAGAAAGCCCTTTGAATTGATCTAGCTTTTCTATAATTATAATTTGACTTCAAGCATTATAATTAGAAGTTGGAGATTTAGAATTAAGGCTCACAGTCTCTGCCTGGGAGCTTACAGTCTAAAATGAGGCAGACAGTATAACAAGGTATATTGGATAGCAGAAGGAAGCGTGAGAGGGTGCTGTAGTCAGCCTCCATGTGCCGTAACCCCCATGTTTCCTGTCCTCATTTTCTACAGCCTCTCCAGAGCACGCGTGCCTCCTCAGGCCTCCCTCTCAAGTACCCAGTCTCTTGGCTTTGCTCAGCTCCCTTCTGATTCTCCCCCAGGCACTGGCTATTGTTAGTCATCTTTGCTGAACCATCCATCTGTGTTCAGATTTCAAATGTTAAAGTACCCCGAGGCTGAGGCCTGGACTCCCTTTCTTTATATCCTGCATCCTCTTTAGATATGATCTTATCGGTCAAATTTATAATTTCCCCCCCATGAACAAATAACCCTAAAGTTCATATTTTCAGTCCAGATTTTTTCTTGGAATGCCAGGCTCAATAATGTAGCTGACAACCTGACGTTATCCCTAGAATGTCTACCAGGCATTTTCATCTAAACCCACCTTTCCTTTTTCTCCATGAAAACTGTTTCTTCATTTTTTTACATCTTAATAAATTCTGTTATATTGTAGTTGTATATGACTGAGTCAAAACTTGACCCGTGGCTGACCCTCTAGCAGGTTTTCAGAAGCAGTAAATTACACAGGAGGAGATGGCACATTCTTCTCCCACAGAGCAGCGGGTGCATTTGAACCAAGTGCCTTTGGAATTGCTTCGCAGCTCCTTACTGCTGAGTCACCAGAACTCCAGTAGATTATATGAGTAAATTCATCTAATTGCTCAAGCAAAACCTAGGAGTCATTCTTTGTTCCCTCATCTCCTCATCCAGTTTATTAGCAAGTCTTGGCAACCCTCACTCGAAATTTTTTCTACCTCAACTTCTTTATCTTAATACTCCGGCTGGATACTGTACTTGGTTAAGAGCTCAGCTTTTCTGCCAGATTTTTTCATGTGGATCCAGTTTGTCCCTACTTAGTGTTATGATATTATTGTTAGGTGCCCTCCAGCAGGGCCCGCTCATAACAACACTGTACAGCAGAACCAGCCCTTCTGGATCCTGCGCCGTCCTCACAATCTCCTGTGCTTGAGTTTAGGCAAGCTCTCTCTCTCTGTGTCTTAACTTGCTCTTAAGTAAAATGAAGATAATAGTGTCCACCTTCTAGGGTTGTTAAAATATTTCAAGGGACTTACCCATCGCCATCTGTCCTTGGTGACTTACTGGTTAAGTCCTTGCCTGCTTACTAACAAAAAGATTGGTGGTTCCAGCACACTTGACAACTCCATGGGAGAAAGCCGTGACAGGCCGCTCCCATAGAGATTACCACCTAGAAAACCCTGTGGGGCCTTTCTGGTTTTATCATGTGACCTTTGCTGTGAGTCAGCATTGACGTGATAGCAGAAGCAGCCATCACTATGGAGTCCCTGGGAGGTGCTTGCCTGGTAAGTGAAATACTGGCAGTTCAGACTCACCCATAGACACATTGGGAAAAAAAACACTCTGCTTCTAAAAGATGACAGCTTTGAAAGTCCTTGGGAACACAGTCTACTCTGCAAGACATGAGGCCCCTGCGGCGGCGGGGGGGGGGGGGGTATGGTATGTATATGTGTTGTTTTTAAAAACACATCATCAGCACTCTAGTTCATGTGACATCCCTTTCCTCTATAACTCAAATCTAACTGCTTCTCCATCCTTTACAAAGTGCCAAGGTAGGTTAAGGGGTTTGGGTTTGTTTATGGTTTTGTTTTCTTTTAATGTGAATGAGGCCATTTTCCCTTTTATGATTTCCTAGTTAGGTTTGAGTTAGGAAAATGAGACCATTTTCCTTTTTACCATTTTATGGTTTCCTAAGCAGTCAGGAAATCAAAAAGCATATCGCGATGGGAAAGTCTGCTGTTAGGGACCTCTCAAACGTACTCAGGAGCAACAGTGTCTCTCTGGAGACTAAGGTGTGCCTGATACAGGTCATGGTATTTGCAATCGCTTGTTATGCATCAGAGAGTTGGACAATGACTAGGGAGGACAGAAGGAGAGTGGATGCTTTTGAGCTGTGGTGCTGGAGAAGGGTACTGAATGTACCCTGGACTGCCAGGAAAACAAACAGATCCATCTTGGAGAGGATTAAACCAAGCTGCTCCTTGGAGGCAAGGATTCTGGGGCTTCGTCTGACATACTTTGGACATGTTGCCAGGAGGGATGGGTCCTTGGAGAGGGACATCATGCTTGGGAGGGTGGAGGGACAGCGCAGGAGGGGAAGACCCTCTATGAGATGGATTGATTCGGTGACTGGGGTAATCGGGATGGGTGTGTCAGAGGCGGTGCGGTTGGCGCAGGATAGAGCAGGGTTTAGAGCTGTTGTGCATAGGGTCGCTATGAGTCGGAAACGACTCGATGGCACATAACAACAACAACAACAACAACAATTGATTGGCTATGCAGAGGCATTTGACTCGGTAGATCCTCACAAACTATGGTTGACATCGAGAAGAATGGGAATCCCAGAACATCTGATCATGCTCAAAGGATACCTAGACCAAGAAGCTCTTGTCCAAACAGAGCCAGGGAACGCTACATCGTTTAAAATCAAGAAACTGCATTAACGCTGAATCCTTTCTCCATGCTTATTCAGTCTGTATGCTGAGCAAATCATTCGAGAAGCAGGACTTGAAAACAATGGCATCAGGATAGGAGGCCGATTCATTGACAGCCTGCATTATGCAGATGACACGACCTTGCTTGCTGAAAGTGAACAGGGCTTGGAGCTCTTGCTGCAGAAGATCAAAAACTACACAACCTTATATGGATTACGTTCTACAACATAGAATGACAGAAATCATCACCACCCAGCCAATAGGCAAAATCATGATAGATGGAGAAAAAATTGAAATTGTCAATTATTTCGTCTTGCTTGGATCCAGAGTCAAGACATTGGCACCAGTAGTCAGGAAATGAAAAGGTGTATTATATTAGGAAACTGCTCCAAAGTACTGAGGAACAGTGATTGAAGTTTAAAAGACTAAGATGTGAGATGCACCTGATTCAGGCTGTGGTCTTTTCAGGCACTTGCTGTGGGTCTTGGAGTTGGGTGATAAAAAGGATGACAGAAGAACCAAAGCCTTTGACGTGTGGTGTTAAAGAAGAGCACTCAGTAACCAATGGTTTGCCAAAAGAGCTAACAGACATGGATTGGAGAGTGCTCCTTAGAGGCAGGGATGGTGAAGCCTCATCTCACATACCTTGGATGTGCTTCTAGGAGGGGCAGGTCATTGGAAAGGGGCGTCATGCTTGAAAAGGGTGGAGGGTCAGATTGACACAGTGGCTGCACCGTGGGCTCAAGTGTATCAGAGATGATGTGAATGGCAGAGGATAGGACAGGGTTCAACAGGGTTCAGATCTGTTGTTCATAGAGTCACTATGAGTTAGACTTGATAGCACATAACAACATAATTAGAATAAAATCCAGACTCTTTATTTGGCTTACTAGTTAGTCCCTGGCTCCAGCCCATCTCTTTGACCTAACCTGTTACTACTTACGTTGTTGTTGTTGTTGTTGTTAGCGACCCTATGTACAACAGCCCTAAACTCTGTCCTGTGCCAATCGCACTGTCTCCAACACACCCATCCCAATTACCGCAGTCACTGAATCAATCCACCTCATAGAGGGCCTTCCCCTCCTGCGCTGTCCCTCCACCCTCCCAAGCATGATGTCCCTCTCCAAGGACCCGTCCCTCCTGGCAACATGTCCAAAGTATGTCAGACGAAGCCCCAGAATCCTTGCCTCCAAGGAGCAGCTTGGTTTAATCCTCTCCAAGATGGATCTGTTTGTTTTCCTGGCAGTGCAGGGTACATTCGGTACTCTTCTCCAGCACCACAGCTCAAAGGCATCAATTCTCCTCTGTCCTCCCTAGTAATTATCCAACTCTCTGACGCATAACAAGTAATTGCAAAGACCATGGACTATATCAGACACACCTTAGTCTCCAGAGAGACACCATTACTCTTCAGTACTTTGGAGAGGTCCCTAACAGCAGACTTTCCCATCGCAATACATCTTTTAATTTCCTGGCTGCTAGTGTGAAGAATGTTGACTGTGGAGCCAAGCAAACTAAAACTATGAACAATCTCAATGTCTTCACCATCCATCCTAATTTGAGAGTGGCTATTTCTCACATACTTTATTTGTGTGTAAGAAGCCGTATAGCAGGTTGAATTATGTGGTGTAGTTCCAAAGATGAAATTTTCCTGTCCACTGCATAGAAAGTCATATTTTCAGTTTTCTGATTTGATGGAAGTGGACTTTTCACTTACCAGATTACCAAAGGGAAAATTTTATTAAACCTGTAAACCATTCAGTAAGATTTTTTTCTAGTGAAGATCTTTATGGTGGAAGCTTTTTTTTTTTGTATAAGAATAGATAATTTCAAAATAACAATGAGATGCCATCTCACCCCAGTAGCAATAGCAAAGTTCAATAGGGCATCTAACAACAAATCCTGGTAAGGTTATAAAGAGATTGGAACTCTCATTCATGGCTGGTGGGAATATAAAATGAGATAGCCACTATGGAAGACAGTCTGGCACTTTATCAAAAAGTTGAAAATAAAAAAAAAAAAAAAAAGTTGAAAATAGAAATACCATTTGACCCAGCTCTCCCACTATTGGGAATATACCCTAAGAAACCAGAGCCATGTCACAGATGGATGCACACTCAAGTTTATTGCTGCGTTATTCATAATAGCAAGGAGATGGAAGCACCCCAAGTGCCCATTAGCAAAGAAGTGGATAGGAAAACTGTGGTAAATCCACACAATGGAATATTATA